CTTTCGAGGGGGGGGGGGGAGGGGGGGGGGGAACCTTGTGACCTTATTAATGAATATGACGTTGTCGACGTGAGCGATGTTGCATCTTAGAAAGGGGGCTAACTATGAGCCAACTACAGAGTTTTCTGCTTCAGCGTCATTATTTAACGATCATGGTCAATGCGTGCGTAGAATCACTGAAAAATGTACAGTGTGGTACTTGTGAGAAGGGCATCGCAAATGGCACTGAATTCTACGCATTGTGAGTACATCTTACAACTACTATAATGACTGAATCGCGTATCTCACTGATTCCGATCACACTCTAAAACTAGTAGCTCACTTAGACCTTGATTAATGCCTCATGGATTCATCACTTTCGATGAGGAGCACCGTAGATATGCTAAAATTTCCGTGGCATTGTTGTATTTAATTTGACTTTTCATTTTATTAAATTCCACCGATGCATTAGAACCAACCGATGTAAAGTTCAGTTACAGTTAAGATATAGTCATTCTAGATCATCAATGATGGATCAGACCTCCAAAGAAAATTTTGTCTTAAAACTACAAATCCAACAGTTGTTTCCAGATTCAGCTCACGAATTTAATTACTGAGTTGATTATTCAACTGTTTCTGTTTCATGAAAACAGCGATGACACTAACTTTGCAGGCTCTTTGATAAACATTCGGAATTACGTCATTACTTCAAAGGACATGAGAATCTGACCGGCGAAGAGGTGAAGAAAAGTGAACATTTCAAGAAGCAAGGTAACATTTCGACCATCAAAATTCGTGTCTTTGCAGGAATCAAAGCCCGCAAAGCTCCTCGTTAAAGCCTAAAATTCGATTCAAGTTACACCAAAGAGAACGAATGATAATATCGAGTAAAAAACTAAAGTCCATATCTAAAAGATCTTGCAGGACAAAGACTGCTGCTGGCTTGTCACGTGTTAGCAAATCTTCAGAATGATCCATCGAGCTTCAAAGCATACAGTCGAGAGATAGTCGATCGTCATCTAAGAATGAATGTTCACCTTGAGCCTAAGATTTGGAGTGTTAGTTCCTCTTGAATATCACAGATCTGCTAACGTAATGCTAAACGTGAATCTGTTCCAGGAATTCTGG